TATATCTCAGTAAAGCTATTCCAGAAAAGGAAACAGTCACATCTTATTTATTTTGCAATTACTGAAAACTTTAACCAATGTCTTTTCATTCTCTTTAATCAACTGCCCAAGCACTTGAGCTTCAAGGTTTTCAAGGTCATGGAAGCAATTGCAGATTGAAGCCCTTATTCTTTTGAAGCCAGTGTTTCTCCATGGAACTTGCTCCTGTTTATCAACAGACTCAGTGGTGGATTTCAATTTTTTTTACTACCAGTCTGTGGGTGTGGCTTGGTGGGCGTGGCATGGCTTGGTGGACATGGCAGGGGAAGGATACTGTAAAATCTCCATTCCCTCCACAATCCACGGGAAGGTTACTGCAAAATCCCCATTTCTTCCTGATCAGCTGGGACTTGGGAGGCAGAGAATAAGATGGATGACATCTTAACCACTAGATCAAACTAATTCTCATTATATATATACATGCTTATTTGTTACATGCAGTCCTTTTGTTATCAGCTTTTCAACTGCCAGCACCAACAGCTTAGCTAGCCACATGTAGTATATTCCCCCTGTGTACCAATTGTAGAAGTGGTCAGAAGGAAGGTCAAGCCAAGGGCTACTGATCAAGTGAAAAAAGGATGACTTTTTTATATCTTGGGTCATCTGACTGGGGATGGATAATGCTGAAGAGTTCTTGTCATGGTTCAGAGGATTATAGTCTCCCTATCAGCAGCCCAGGAACTGAATGTCAGACAAGAATGTCACCCTAATCCTTTGAATCTGACCTTCAGGAGGTGTATTGGTCCAGAGAAAATTTCTGATTTACCTCTAGGCTTTGACCCAAAGGAAGTTAAATGTGACTATTCTTCAGCCCTGCAGTCTCTTGTAGGGAGAAACTTTGGGTTGTTGGGAGGATTAAACATCTGTTTTAGCAACATTCTGCTTTTCAATATTAGTCATTTGTGGCTCTAATAGTGTGTGACCTAGTATCAGATGAAAGTTGCAGGGTGTCTCAAAGAATCAGAATTGATGCAAGGTATGGTATAGATCAGGGGTGTCAAACTCAAGGTCCGGGGCCTGTGGGGTGCTTAGATCCGGCCCATGGGGCTACCTGGAAACAGCAAAGGACTGGCTCATGGCGCCTCTGCCAGCAAAAATGGAGCTTGGGAGAGCTGCCTATGGCCCTCCTGAGCTCCATTTTTATTGGCAAAGGGTTGCAGGAGGCTGTCACAGCTGAAAACAAAGCTCGGAAGCCTGTTTTCACTGGCAGAGCGCTAAAGCCACCACAGGCATCTCTGACATGAGTAACATCAAGATGGCCACACCCACTCTTCTCTCCCCCCCACCCGAGGTCAAACACAACCCTGATGTGGCCCTCAAATCGAGTTTGACACCCCGGTATAGATGAAGGCCTACAAGCGCTCCAGCATGGTGGATGCTACCATATTTCAGTCTATCTTCTGCCTGGTGGTGTTACCTGCATCATCTTTAGCAGTTACCATCAAGAGAGGGAGGAAGCATAGCAAGCACCACCCCCAAAGTAAACATCAATGCTCCTTTAGATATGTGATCCAGTGTATGTATACATGTTTGTTTAATGCTTCCTCCAAAGCAGGATCAGACCCAGGTGCCCAAATAAACTAATATTTTTGTTTAGGAAATAAGTAATGGTTATTTGGCCTGTGCTTATAGAGTCATAAGATCTATTCATAATTAAGATTAAAAATTGGAGGAACAACATTAAACATATGAAGTTATGCACATTCAAGAAATTTTGTATAGTTTCTCTATGCTGTATATACTTTACCAGAAATAAAACAGTTTTAAGATAAGCACATTTTACTTTGTAGACAGATGACAGTAATCATATTTCCTACTTGTATTAAGGTAAAATGAGCCGAGGTGGCACAGTGGTTAGAGTGCAGTACTGCAGCTACTTCAGCTGACTGCTAGTTCAGCAGATCAGCGGATCAAATCTCACTGGCTCAAGGTTGATTCAGCTTTCCATCCTTCCGAGGTGGGTAAAATGGGGACCCAGATTGTTGGGGGCAATATGCTATTTAGTATACTGTCTTTGGTGTAAGCCGCCCAGAGTCCTTGGAGAGTGGGCGGCATAGAAATATGACTAATAAATAAATAAATAAATAAAATCTCCATTCCCATCCCACTCAAGGCCAGCCAGAGGTGGCATTTGCTGGTTCTCCGAACTATTCAAAATTTCCGCTACCAGCTCTCCAGAACCTGCTGGATTTCACCCTTGGTGCAGAGGGTTCGGGAGACCAAAAACAGGCCCATATTCTATAAAACACATTGAAATTTTCATCCACTTTTAGGGGGGAAGAAAGTGTCTCTTAAACTCTGAAAAATACAGTGTGTGTATGTATATGTGTATGTGTGTATGTATATACGTATATTTATACGTATATGAGAGAAGGAGCTAATATATATTAAAGGTATAGATCTGCTCAGATTCAATTAATCTGTTATTGTAATGATATATTTGCATATTTCTTTAGTACAGTTTATACTCTATTAAACATATGGAAATATATATATACTTTATATATTTAAAGTAATTAGTTTAAATTCTTATCAACCCATACTTTTTAACAGACTTTTTTCGCACAGTAAAAGTATAAATATTTGAGTTCTTTTTTGTTTTTTTTGTATAAATATACAACCACACCAAGCACAAAAGATCCAGGCGAACATTTGGTGATTACAGAGATTACATAATTTCTCAACATGCAAACAAATTAATTCACTTAGTTTAATCTATATACTTTATCAAAATAAGTATAAAGAGAATTCCAGTATACTTTTGGTCTATTAAATATTGCAGCAATCACTTAATTTGTAACAAATAGGGTTACATTATCAACACTTAATAGCAAAAGGGCATTCAGACACCATCACACATCTTTTTAAAATAGGTGAAAAATTTAAAAGAATTGCAGGCATGACAGTTCGGAGAGCTACCAGGTTGGGGAAGTCTGTGCTAGAGAATAAGAACTGAGATCCAGATAGATAGATGTGATTTATCATGCTTTGCATGAAGAACCACTTAAGTTTCCCCAAGCGATGTTTTGTAACAGGACAAGAAGCAGATGGTCACCTCTCTCAGAAACTCAATGGCTTCTTCCAGCTGCCAAAGTAGACAATACACTAAACCAACTAAGTGACTATTTGAAAGGCAATTTCCTGCATTTCTAAAATGACCCCAGAGTGCAAAGCATAAAAATGTTTTAAAAAATCAAGGTTCCTAAGAGTTTTGCAGACTAAACTCTCAGGAAAGAGAACCTGCCAACCAGTGGTGGGTTGCCCCTGGTTTGCACAGGTTCTATAGAATCGGTAGTAAAACCAGCGGAAGGCTCCGCCCACCGACCCCGATGTCATCAGAACGCTTCTGCGCGGCGTTGCGAATTGGTAGTAAAGATAAGTAGAACCCACCCCTGATGCCAACCCACTTGGCTATAGGCTTTCATCCCACTCTAAAGCTGCCATCCCAACAGAAGTCACACATTGAAACAAAGCTATCAAAGTAACTGTCCTTACACAGGACTGGAATTTCTAATTGCTGCTGTTGTTACTTCCATGGGATAAGGAACAGAACCTTTTTTCTTCAAAGCTGTCTCAACAATTCCTGGACAGATGCCTCATTGCCTCATTGCATGAGGATTTCTGGCCTACCTTCATTCTTGTTGCTCCTTCCACCCTCATTGCAAACATAAATCCAGGGGTGAAATCCAGCAGGTTCTGTAGAACCGGTAATGGAAATTTTGAGCAGTTCGGAGAACCGACAAATACCATCTCTGGATGGCCCCAGAGTGGGGTGGGAATGGAAATTGTGCAGTATCCTTCCTCTGGAGTGGGGTGGGAATGGAGATCTTGCAGTATCTTTCACCTGCCAAGCCCACCAAGCCACACCACACCCACCAAGCCACGCCCACAGAACCGGTAGTAAAAGAAATTGGATTTCACCACTGCATAGGCCCTTCACCATTCCTCATAAGGGGGATTCCTGCCCTTATTTCCAAGCTTCCTAAAAAGCAGTTGGTTCCAGGTCAGCTGAGGATGGCGGCAGACTGTTCAAGAGATAAAACAGGGATCCCACGGAAAAGTGATGGTAATTGTTGATTTATTCCCTCTGGTTATTTGGCATACTATTTGCATTCCATAAGATCATTCTTCGCATTCCTTTTTGAATTCTAAAAGAAAATTTTAGCTGTCAAGTGACACTCTCTAGCAGTCAAAACAAGGATGGCCAGGGAGACCCAAAATATCTTTTTCTTAGTCTCAGCAATTTTAAGAGGAATGCATTTCAACCTCCAGAATTCCCCAGAGAGCATGCTGTAGCCAGATGAGAGGAGTCCTTCAGGATGCTGAGCTGCCTGAAGCTGTTCCTCCAGGTGAATCAGAGGGCAATGGGCAACCCACTTATAAATTCTATCAAGAAAACTGCAGGGACCTGTCCCAGGGAGTTGCCAGAAATCAACACTTGATTTGAAGAGACAGGAACTCAAAAAGTCAGAAATTTGCAGACAAAGCAACAGCTGGCATTACCTTTCCAGAGAATAAAATCGATTAGTTGTGAAGGGCTAATCATTTAAACGTCCATGACTTTCTGCATTAAGCATAACATTCATTTTCTGCAATGCACTGGTTCCTATAGTTTAGATCAGGGGTCTCCAACCTTGGCCACTAAGCCTGGCGGACTTCAACTCCCAGAATTCCCCAGCCAGCAAAGCAAAGCAAAGAATTCTGGGAGTTGAAGTCGCCAGGCTTAAAGTGGCCAAGGTTGGAGACCCCTGGTTTAGATTGCAACTGCAGGTGTCCTTCCCCACCAGGAAGCCGAGCCATGAAAGACATGCCTACGAGGCGGGACCCGAATACCTGTGCGGATCGGAGGATAAACCTACCCTTCAACGCATAGTGCATCCCTCCGACCCCGCTGTATAACTCCAACACTCGCAGCCGCGGATCCATGACCCCCACTTTCAGCAGAAGCAACCCCGAACTGCATCCGGTCGGCCGCGCGTTGTAAACTACCTTTTGTTCCGCTGCTTTTTCGTTCCTATTCGGTCTCTCCGAGAGAGCTTGATCTCACCGGGTGAACAAGAGCGTTGGAGACTTGAGAATCCCCGCAGGCGGTTGAAAGGTTGGTCGAAGCTTCTGTTTGCATCCTTTAGGATTCGCTGCCTCCCCAACTCCGTTCCTGCATTTGTATAATAAAACACAACCAGTCGGGATAGCTCTCTTTTCGGACCATTTAGGATCCAACTTCTGAAAAACTGAGAAGGAGTCTCTTTAGTTAAGATTTCCAAGGTGGGGATTTAAAAAAAAAAAAGAATATCTCATTATGGAAAATTGCATTTGCCTTTAGTTAGATGCAGGGAAATCCCTGGATAAGACTGGGTAAAACTAAAAAGAAGCAGGTATTTTATGATTGGATGAACCAGCATTTGGTGTGCCAAGAAAAAAAATGTTGAGCAATGGACAAGGACAACTGAAAAGGGGATAAAAACTGTCTGCTCCAAACATTAAACGGAGTGCATATAGATTGCCTACAGCCTCTTTTTGAAAGAAAGCAGAAAACAAATGTGGCCTGTTTTCATAATAAGTGAAAGTTCCCTCTCCCACCCCCACCAAAAGCAAACATAGCAGGATTGCTATTGCTAAGCAATATCATGTTACACTTTATGACTGCATTATTTTGCAACGGAAATTCTGGTCCCAGTTGTAGCCATAACTCAAGAACTATCTGTGGAACAGATCATAATCTACTGGTATCAGATATGAGTTAAATTAAACTAAAGAAGAGAAAAACAGTGAATAAATATTGTGCTTATCTCTGTTCAACTTATACAGTAAATATCAGAACAACAGGATGAAGTGGGATGATAGCTAAAGTTGACATACTAACAAATTGAAATGTGTGAATGACACCTCTTCATTAGTCAAAATTAAAAAAGCCTTAGAAGGATTCAAACACTGTTAAAGAAGGATGATAGGATGGAGCTGTAAATATTAGATTAAATGTATTGATGAAGACAATAGCAAACCTCAACAAAATCATGAAGGATAAGACATTTCAATAATAACCAAGATTAAAACAGTAAGTCAAAGGATTTTCAAATACTGATATATCATTATAAAAGCTAGAAATTGAGAATGAGCAAGAGATACAATTGAAGTATGAATCTGGAGATTGGACTATCCAGAAATCAAATAATCAGTCCGGAACCAATAAAGACAGTTACTTTCTTCAGGCAATAATTAGCAAGCAGAAACTCACATATTTTGGACATGTGATATAAGCATTTGATGTACTGGAAAATTGATTATGGTTAGCATGATTGAAGCTAGAAAAAGAGAAGAAAGACAATGATAAGATGAATAGCAAGATTATACTTGGCAGCTACAAAATATTAGTAGACACTAATCAAGTTGGTAAGCATATATCCATACTGGGTTCAAGAGCTGAACCCATCTTGATGGCATTTAATTAATTTCAATGCTGCTCACACAACATAGTCACGGTTCTGTCAATTTTCTTATAGTCCACACAGCTTCTTTTGTCACATAAACCCTGTATCTTTCTTCTGATACCTTGCCCTTTATCCAACCTCCACCCTCATGTCACCTATTCCTTTTGCTCCTAACATAAATAAGTATACAATGTTAAATTCTTTGTTCATTTACTGAAACTAAATCCATTGCTTCAATCTCTGGTAACCTCTGGGCATATTATTTGAAACTTCCCACCATTTTTAAAGACATAAGAAATCAATATAAGTCATGTCATGGAAGAGCCTCAACATAGTTAACATAGTTGAAGGAATTCAACAAATCAGCTCCCTCCAGTTTGTATCATTTCCCCCACTCACTACAGCCGGGCCCCCAAAGTCTCCTCCCACCTTGCCTTAACAGAATCTGACCTTGCTGTGGAGGGATAAAAAACTGCCATAGGCATAATGATGAATTATCCTCTCTTCCAGGGTTTTTTTCTTTGATTCTGTGGCTGCCAAGATTAAAGCAAAAAAACACAGTGTAATAAGGCAGCATCAATCTGCCTCAATCAGGGCCATGTGGACAGTGGATAAAACCGGAATTGCTAGATCAGTGGTCCGATGTAAAAGCTTCAAACTTGAAAGCTCTGCAGCTAGGTTACATGAGTTTACTCCTCCCAAAAAACTGCCTGGAACTACAGTTAAAACCTCTCCTCTGCAATATTAGATGCTTTCCAAATCGATTGCTTTACTCAGTTATTGAAAAAATAGTTTCTTACTACATTTTTTATAGCAGTGGTTTCGCTAAGCAAAACTGGTTGTTGTTTTTTTGTTTTGTTTTTTAAAAGGTTTTTTTTAAGAACCTATAGGCGTAGCAAGGCGTAGAAGAACAGGAAGTTAGTGGTGAAACTGTTTCATTGCTTGTTATCTTTCTATCTACAAATATATATGATACTGGGAAAAAGAAGGGGAAATAGCTGGAAAGATGCACCACATTGTATAAACCATTATTATTGAAAGCCTTGATGAAATTGTTCAGTCAAGTGGTTTTTATGCTCTGTTTGTTCATTATTGCCACTTTGCTTATTATCAGTTATGTACAATGCTGCATGATGTACCAAGTTTATTGTATAAGAAAATGCTGCATGATATTTTCTACATAAAGTGTAATGCCTTACCTTTATCACCCATATTAAATCCTTTATTAGCCTTCTCAGTATATTGTTGAACACTTACTTGGAGAAGTTTTAAATGTTCTTCTGGTGCATGAAATTTTAGGTCTGCACAGTTGATTGACCTTTTAAATGGGTTTCCTAATATTTACTGTCCAGTGACAGCTACCTTTGAAGTCTTCTTCAGCATATGGTGTCTATTAATCTGTAATATTTTTGTTATTCCAGCTGGCAGTTCTGTTTGCTCCTGCTCTTATTCACCTGTCACTCTCATTAGCACTGAATCTTGATAGTGTACAGTCTGTATTAATTTGGTAGGTTGAACAGAAAAAGCATCTGGAAGTCTGATAGGATTACAAAAATGTTGATAGTGATCTTTCCGTTGGTGCACCTTGTATTTAAATTATTATTTTCATTTATCTCAGTCCAGACTAATATTGCAGGGATAGGGTTGCCAGGTCTGCTTCCAAAAAATAGTGGACAAGCGGGGGGTGGGGGGGTGGGGTTTAAGTAGTAAAAAAATAAAAAAATTACAATTAAATTATATATTTTCTTACAAACATTTTAACACGCCATTTTAGGTCAGTCGACATAAGCTACAATACATTTTAAAAATGTGAACTGTACATAATTTTATAATATATTTTTATTTTAATCTCATCATTAATTTTTTCGGAGAATCGAGTTCAATGGATATTCGATCTTTGTCTCATTCTAACTTATGAAAAAAAAGACAAAACGCGATTCTCCTATCCTTATTCTCTTAGATTGTACAGCTTTAGATTACGTACCATTTCATCATAAAGCTTTTGAATAAAAAAAATGTCCACTATTTTGTGAAAACAAATAGTGAACATAATGTGAAAAAAGTCGACTGTCCGTTCAAATAGTGGACACCTGGCAACCCTATGCAGGGATGAGGCCATGTCTTCAGTGGTAGCAAAATTACAATATTTTATTTAAAAACGCACACATGTCCAGCAATTATATTTCTAAAATTAGGCTTGACAGTATATTAGTAATACCTGCTGATATTTCAAAAGACAAAAAAAAAGTTTTTCTTCTTTAGAACATCATTGTGCAAAATTTCTATAATGACAAAGAAAAGAGCTTTAGATTTTCAGCACAAACTATGCAGTTACTTATGAGTAGAATGATGTAGCTTGGCATTGCCATTTTAGTTGTCTTTAAATCTATTTTGAAACACAGAACTGTCTCTCTTCATTAAACCATTCCAATGTTAATTTGTTGAAAAATGTTCTATCAAGTGACTTTGTATAATATAAGTCATAAGTCATGCTTTTATACAATACAGAGATTGAGTTCATACACAACAAAGTTTAGCATGATTTGTGGTCCAGTCTAGGATAAAATAATATTTTTTAAAGTTCCTTTTGATCTATATTTTATAGAAAGTCAGGATACTCCTACCATTCTGTATCATCTGGATGTACATGATTTATCTTCCTCAGCAAGATGATCAGTGCAGTTTATTGCTATTCTCTCCATTGGCCAGATCCACTGTGATGCTTTCCTAGAGAAGGATATTTATTTCCTTGAAATACTTCCTTAGCTGATCATTACAGAAGTGTATAAAATTATGGATAAAACAAAATTCTTATATGTTTAAGAAAAACCTAACACATAAAAAAAATAGTACAGTACAACAAAATTAGCAAATTACCAAACAAGCTCTTGCAGTTTTCTTGAGAAGATTTCACAAGTGGGTTGCCATTGCCTCCTTCCTAAGGCTGAGAAAGAGGGCCTGGCCCAAGTCCAACCAGCTGACTTTGTGGCTAAGGCAGAACTAGAACTCACAGTCTCTTGGTTTTTAGCCTGTTGCCTTAATCACTTGGCTAACTCTCACAAACTGGCTCTCCCAAAAATTAAATCCATGGTAATTTTTTAAAAGTATGCATATAAGGCATATTTTTAGCTCTACTGCTGCAATTATAGACCTCAGTCTCCTAACTGTATACCTGGTAGAAGTTTGCAGATGTCCTACTATGTACTTCTCAATTTGCAATATTAAACTTGCACAATTGCCACCTTTCTTTTCTGGATGAAGAAGTCAGTCATGTTTTTACGAGGATGTAGGCATTTTCAACCAATAGGCTACTTTCAATAGTATGTTATTTGTGTAATTCATGAGCTGTGAGTATTTTCAGTGCATATAGCATTTACTTTTCATCAGGCTAAGTCCTATGCATTCATGGAAAAAAAATAATAAAAAAGGAAGAATGTTTTGGATACAGTAATTTAACCTTAGCTGTAAATTACATGAAGAGTTGCTTATTTCACTGAATTTTGTAAAAGGGAATTTCTGTATTTTATATCTCATTTAAGATTGGTACTTGAAAGAAATCTCTTAAGGAAAACGGAGGCAATGCTTTAGTGAATAAGTAGGCAGTTGTTTCCAAACATTTCATCCTCATATATTTATTGATGTCATATCAAAAAACCAGCCCCCTCTCCAAAAAATCTCAGACACTATTATAAGAAATACTGCTAAAAACTGTGGACAGTCGTAAGGTTTGGATCATCTGCTCAGTGATCCTGAATATCTTTTGATCATCTGAAATATCTTTTTTTACTGTGCTGAAAGAAATTGTCAGACAGGTGGACATAATGAATTTGATTTCCCATTGCTGGTTCTGATTGCTGATCCCATTGTCAAAAGCGGATTTTAAAAGTCTAATGCCAGTTGCCTATACAAGCAGAAAGATAAATCTTTATCACCTGCTTGATATCTCATGCTAAATACTTGTTTTGGTGTCCTACTATGTTCTTCTCAATTTGCAATATTAAACTTGCACAATTGCCACCTTTGTTTTCAGGATGAAGAAAGAAGTCATTGTAATTTGCAAACCATGGTTTATGACAGACCTGGGCAGTTTATGGTCCCTGTCCAGCCCATGTGAAATCAATTGGAAATTAGAAATCAAAAGTAAATAAGGCGTCGAGGGGTCAGGAGAAGAAGTTGAGTCAGGTCCAGCTCTGTAAAGTCACCATGCACTCGTACAGTTGGCTTGTGGTTGCAGGAGTTCAAAGAGAGAAAGTGCTTTTCTGTACCTCTGCAATGCTTGTCCTTGACCTGAAGCAGCCTGAGGGTGGAGGAAGTTATCATGTGAGGGGACTGGGCTCAGCGGCCATCCATCGCTGCCTCGGTCAAAGTGCAGGAAAGCAGGTGGAATGTATTCTATTGGCTTGGTCCTTCACGATAGTCCCAGTTTCTTATGAAGCCCCTTGAGAAAATGTATACCCCACCCCTGATTTATGGCTTAGTGCAAAAGCTTGTAAACAAGCAACATTGAGAAAGGTCTATGAGGACGTCGTCTTGAGTTCTGACTGCTCTTCCATAGAATCTAGTTAAGAATCAAAAAAAGTCTTCTAGTGAAGTGGGTGGGGTGGAGGAGAGAAAAGCACAGCACTGACCTGAGGCAAGAGCAGAAGATACAAAACTTACTTTCCTACTTAAATGGCAGCAGCCATAAAATTACTGTTTCATTGGAAGATGAAATGAGGGCCAACCTACTCCTGAAATCTGTAGCTCAGCTTCAGGGTCACCTGCTTCACTGCCTCACTAGTGAAAGCAAGATTACTGTATTTTTCGGAATATATGACGCACCTTTTTCCCCCCTAAAAGGAGGTGAAAATTTAGGTGCGTCATATACATCAAATGTAGCCCCGCCCACCCACTGGCCCCCACCCTTTGGCCTCTGCCTCCCAGCAGTTTACCTCCTTGCAGCAAGCAGCAAGAAGAAACAGCTCCTTTCAGCTTCAGCACAGCCTAATTAGCACAAGTTGATTGGATTGGCGTCCCGACTCTTAGCTGTTTTGCTCTCAGCTGTTTTGGCCAGGCCTCTGCTGCTTGCTGCAAGGAGGTAAATTGCTGGAGCAGATTTTTTTTTTTTTTGGTGCTAATCAAGCTATGCTGACAATGAAAATGAAAGTAAAGCAGGCTGTTTGCTGTTTGCTGCAACGAGGCAAAATTGCTGGGAGGCAGAGGCAGATTTCTTTTTCTTGTTTTCCTCACCAAAAAAGGTAGGTGCGTTTTATAGTCCGGTGTGTCTTATACTCCGAAAAATATGGTATTTGGGCATTGTAGGGAAAACCTAATCAACAGTCAATGTTAAAACTGAATGGATGTCATCCTTGGCTTGACAGGTCAAAACAAATATATGTCTCAGGATGATTCTGAATTACTTTGTGGGTAGGGGACCAGGAGGCCCAGAGCTTCTATTCTTCTGTATTGGAGCAATGAATGAAGAGGTGCTTTTGAGAAAAGCCGGGCTAAATCAACATACTGTAAGTATGTTTATCCTGCTTATAGAGAGATGAGATCAATGTTTTGCTCAATGACTGCTCAGTCTTTTATGGATAGAAAAACTATTTTTCACTTTTAATTAAAAAAGAGAAAACATAATTTGCTTTTACTGTATCTCATAAAATCATCTCTTATATCTTTCAGGACAATCTGACTTTGAAATCCAAAGAGATTATTTTCTAGTTTGGGGTAGAACCGCTGATAACATAATACTAATCAAAACTAAATACATAATCATTGGTGATAGTTTTCTTTTTTACAGAATTACTACTCCCTAATTACAGCTCAGTTATTGAGTTTTCCTCAGGTTCTTCCTCTTTCAAGAGAAGACTCATCATAAACATAATTAACATTCAACTTAACAGAATTTATCTGAATGGTGTGAAAAAAATAGTATATAATATTTTAATTTTCTTACATATTTTAATTTGCCTATTCTTCATAGCCAAGAAAAGAAATTATTCTGTCAAAGTTTGAAAAGAGTTGCTTAATGGAAGTTACACATTTCCATTCAATGTGTAGGGCAAATTGATTGGAAAAATGGAAGCTAATGGTAAAGTAAAATAATTGAATTTAAGTTTTAACTATATCTTCTGTAAAAGAAATCAAAGCCATTTTTGTCTTTCTATAGTTTTTACTTTTCTGAACTTCTATCTTTTTTCCTATTCTCTCCCTTATCTATTTCTTTATTAGTTTTTATGTTTTATTAAAAAAAATGTAATAAAGCCACATTAAAAGAATGTATTAAGGCTCCTGATGTTATTACCAATTTATAACTAATTTTGTTGTATTTGTGAAAATATGCATTTAATTACTAATTTTCATGATAAGCTTAATAGTTGAATTGTATACACAAGTCTTCCATATTTTTCCTATGTTTTCCTTTTTTCCAAAACATTGGGGTTATAATTGCAATTAATATTCTAATGGTGTAAAATGCTGTATGCAGTACGCTATTATTTTAAAATTACAATTTTTTGGAATGGCTACTCCAGAATTTCTCAAGTTCAGCAACTTTGGGATGTGCAGGCTTCAATTCTCAGAATTCCCCGGGGAAGCATGCTGGCCAGGGAATTTTGGGAACCGAAGTCCATGCTTCTTAAAGCTGCTGAGGTTGAGAAATACTAGGCTATTCAATACTTTACCAGATGAGCTGTAAAAATGTGAAGTTATTTTTCTCTGTTATGGTTGTTATACTACAGGGTTTTTCTGAACATTAGTTCTTAACTCAAATGGGTTCATTTATATCCCACCTTTATTATTTTTACCAATAACTCAAGATAATGAACATATCCAAAACTTTCGTCTTCCTATTTTCCCCACAACAACAATCCTGTGAGGTGGGTTGCACTGAGGGAGAGTGACAGCCCCAAGAATACCCAGATGGTTTCCATGGCTAAGGTGGGGTTTGATCTCCCGGTCTCTTGTTTTCTGGCCTTGTGTCTTAAGCACTAGACCAAACTGGCATGAGTTTTTAAGTAAGTAATTTCAATTTTCTGCCCCTTGAAGCTACGGGTTGTTTAAATAGTAGAGTTGTACCCTATATTTGAAATTAATGCATCCTACAAGTTTTTTGCTCGTTTTGAACTGAAGTACCAAGTCCAAAGAAGCATTCTTTCAGCAGAGCCAGAAAAAGACTTACCTGGAAAGTGAAAATGAAGACAGAGGGCAGTCCCTCACAAAATGATTGGTCTTCTGTTCTGGCCGCAGGAAACCAACCACACAACATGGATACACCCATAATGTTCTGGATGTGAATGCTAAGCAGGTAATCTTTTTAAATTCTAGCCCATTGCATTGTATCTATATTCTCTTGATGGTCCCAAGCCTCTTTGTTTCTTGAATAATTAGAGACCTCGACCAAACCTAAGATCCTTATTTACATCTTATTTATTCAATTTATAAAGTAATCTGGCATGGGAATGAAGTAATTATTTCAAACCAGGATTATTTGAAATTGCCATTAAATAAATGTTTTATGTTGGTCTCGAGTTATATATTCATTTAGAAATAAGATTTTTTTTAAAGCAGGGGTGCCCAACCCCCAGGCTGTGGCCCACTACCGAGCTGTGGCTTATTCAAAAGTGGGGCACATGATTGGCTGGCTGGAGTGCACATGAGCAGCTCAACTTGTACAAACAGCGGGCACCCATGCACATCAGCCCACCACTCACTTAAAGAGCTGTTTTAAGGTACAACAAGGGAATAGGCCTCCAACTGTTTAGAATTAATGCAATGTGTGAATCCAGCCATTATGGATTGCAAGTGCAGTGCTGTGTGCACAGCAAGCTAAGTTAATTGTGATTCAGTATGTGCTAATATAGTTTTGTGACTTATTCAACAAGCCACAGCTAAAACCAACTCTGGTTTAGAATGTGTGAACTTATTTCCTGTTAGGTTCATATTGCACCCTAAGACCAAGTATACTTAGTGAAATAATCAGCAGGTTTGCATTGCTCAAATCAAACTGCGGCTTCCTAAAGCATGCTGAGCCTGATAGGCTTCAAAAGCTTTCTCCTACCTTCCTACAAAAGCTGTGCTTGTACTTTGCCACAGCTGTTCTGGTGTGTGGGTTTTTTGGCAGTAATTAAGCTAAACAAACCAAATGTAACCATCTGTGTTTATTTGGTACATATTTACTTGAGATCTATCTCATTACTCCCCCGAAAGACTCTTGTAAGAATCATTACTTCCATAAAGTAACATCAAAGGATTACAAACTTCAAATTAGGTGTTTGAATTAAGCATCCTTTTCTGTTATCCCCCCCCAAATATCTATTTTAGAGATGATTTGTCAAGAAAAAAGTTGTTTGCCTCAAAATTGCCAGATGTAGCCTGTGATTTGAACAGAATTGTTTCCAAGGATTGTAAAGCCTTTAAAAATAACAATGGAGGGAAATCCTCTGTGGAGTTGTTACCATTTGAATGCTACCCTCTGCTTTGGCTGGTTGCCTAGGCTACTGAACAAAGGAAAATGTTGGTCTCTATATGATCCAAATACAACACCTCTCTAATTTGCTGCTTTGAATGTGCTAGACTCCTGGCCATCTTGATTATAGATGATGTTCCTTGCGTATAATGTAGTAGAAATCCAGACGTATTTGATAGTAGCACCTTCAATTTAATAGACTATTTATGCCAATATGACATTACCCTGGCTTCAATCCCTCCCCAATTTATATTTTTGTCATAACAAATAGAAGCTGATCTGCTCCAAAATACTGATCTTCATTAACTTTTTTCTTTACAAGAAGCCCCTGGGCTTTACATGAGCCCCATAAGATTTTAAAGAAAATTAAAATAATGGGCAGCTGCAATTCAGTGATTTTCAATTCATTTTCCAGAAGCAGGTTAAGGATAGGGAATATGCTGAAGGAGGGGGCTAGATAAATCAGGAGTGCTATTCACAGGTTCTGACAGGTTCTGGAGAACCAGTAGTGGAAGTTTTGAGTAGTTCGGAGAATTGACAAATACCACCTCTGGCTGGCCCGAGTGGGGCGGGAATGGAGATTTTGCAGTATCCTTCCCCCAGAAGTGGGGAGGGAATGGGGATTTTGCAGTAGCCTTCCCTGGGAGTGGGGTGGGAATGGAGATTTTGCAGTATCCTTCCCCTGCCACGCCCACTAAGCTACGTCCACCAAGCCACGCCCACAGAACCAGTAGTAAAAATAATTGAATCCCACCACTGGATAAAATGGTAGGTCAACATTTTAAAAATATAAAACATAACAGCTCTCGAGATCTTGGTGGGCTGAAACTTCCATTTTGTTAGGGCTGAGGTGGAGTTGTTCTTGGAGGACGTGGATTGACCATCACTGGGCTCCAGCATAAGGTCAGATAGTCTTCACAGATTTCTCTCCCTTTGAGATTGTGATGCTAGGATGGGATAAAACAGCACCCAGCTCTGTGCTTGCCTGGTGGCAGTTAGGGAGGCGAGGATCTGGTTGGGCACTGAGTTGTCCCCATGTCCAGTTGGTCAAGCTGACTTGTTCCACACTAACCTGGTTGTGCTGACCCAGTGCGCCGACCCGGTCACAACCAGCTATCTGTGCTGATCTGGCCACACCCATGTGGCCAGGCCAACCCGTCCACGCCCATCCGTCCACGTTAACCTAACCACAGTGAGTTGTCCAAGATCCTCTGTCTTGAAAGGCAAGATCTTCAGACACCACTTTGTATAAGTGCTCACAATAAATTCAAAAAATTCCATATTTGTTCACTGCTCTGTTGGGCAACTAGGGATTGGGAAGAACTGAGGCGAGACAGATTCTGAAGCTAACAAGCCTTTATTGGCTTACCACAGGCAACAGGAACAGAGCAAGTTTAGAATGACAACAGAAGAGTTCATTCGTCTGACAGCTATTTATATAGCAGCTGTCAGACGCAATAAACCAATTGGAGAGCTTTATTCTCCCGCTGCAAATGCTGTGCACCTTAGCCAATCAAGAGCTTTCTTGCCATTGCTTTGTAAGTCTGAGGACTTAACATCCCTTCCATCCTGGACGGCACATGCAGTTGGCCAGATATGCAGGGCGCCGATGTTTCCGCGCAGATCTTCGCAGTTCAGGGGTGGCTTCTGAAGGAGTAGGAGGTGTTTGCTCGGCCTATGGAACTACCGGCGACTTTTCTGGAACTTTATCTTCAGAGACCATCTCAGACGGGACTCCTGGCTCTTCAGGTAAATTGGGTGCCAGTGGTGCATTGAAGGGTGGGATAAACAGTTCGTTGCTTGGACTTGAATTTGTGCTTAGTTCTTTGTTGTTGGCTGTTTCTTGTTGTGTGACGATAGGCCGGCCACACAGTTGATTGATGTGGTGCCGCCAGATCCTTCCATTGTTGAGTTCGACCCTGTATGAGCAGGACCCTGTAATTTGTTTTATTAGTCATGGTAGCCACCTTGGTTCGCCCCCATAGTTCTGGGCATAGACTGGATCTCCCACATTAAAGTTTTGGATGTGGCTGGTAGAGTCTGGGGGGTTGTCAGGTGCATAATTGGGGTACGTAATTGGGTGCAAATTGGACAGTTTGGAGCTGTCGACCCATTAGTAGTTCAGCTGGGCATGGCATTATGTGTTGTGCCATGAGGTATCAGGATACTTTCTCCTGCCAGTCACCTGGGCCAAACCTTGCCAGAGATTCTTTGGCTGACCTGACAGCCCATTCAGCCATCCTATTACTAGCTGGGAAAAATGGGGCTACCTGGGGATGGTGTATGCAGGGTGGATTTGATTTAAATCAAACTGATTTAAATCACAATTTAAATCACGATTTAAATCACTAGTCAGTAAGGCTTGATTTAAATCATAGTTTTCTACATAAAGACTAATTCTTGGTGGTATAACTTTAATATGCAAGTAGATGAAGATTTTTAGAATAACAACTTTTCATATTAGTTTTTTTATCCCCCGTTTAATAGGTTAATCATTCATATTTGGACAACTTTTCTGTTGTACTTAGGAAGGAGAAAAATAATCATTACCTTAATAATAACAATTTAAATAGATTTATTCAACTGAAACAATAACATTACAGCATATGTTATTTGCTTAAACAAACATCCATGTTTGTTAACTAATTTGGCTAAACAATATATATATATTTTAAGAAACTTAGACTGCCAACCCAGCCTACACATGAAAAACTTAAATACTGTCCTCTGTAGCTCACTCGTCATCTTCATCTTCTTCTTTGTTCATAATCTGGAAAAGAAAAACAAGCTTTCCTGCTTTATCGGGTCC